GGGTTGAGATGATTGAAGGCAGGAGGGGTTGGCCAGGGGCGAGGCAGAGGGTGCAAGGAGGCGCGCAAGAGGTTTTCGGGGTACCCCAATTGGCGCACACACGGCGATATGCACGGGCGCGTGCACGCGTGCACAGACACACATGCGCATGCACGCACGCGCATACGCACACGCGCACACACACACACACACACACACACACACACACACACACACGATGAGGTGCATACACGCTTACCAACAGCTCAACCCCTACCTTTGAGTGGAATGAGTTGAGCATGATGCCCGTGGCCGTACCAGAGGGGAACGGCAGCTGCGGGGCGGGTGGCAGCAGGCGCACACAAGTGAAGCGTGTGCGCTCACTTTGGGCGCGGGCCGCCACGCAAGGGGGCGCCACCCGGCCGCGACGCCTGCGTGCATGCCTTCCAGAGCGGACAAGAATGTCATCCAGACGACTGGTTGATCGGTGTTGTTAGGCAGTCTGCGTCCAGCACCCCCCCCCCCTTATCCCTCCCTTGCACACCTTCCAGTCCAGGATCATGAGCTTCCTGAGTGAGGTCAGCGTGAAGATCCCGATGACGCTGACTAAAAGCAGGTACGGGATGATGCGGGACAACTCGGGCTCGAAGATCACGTCTGTTTGTATGAATTAAAAAGGGGAGGCGGCGAGGCGGTCAGCAGGAGCAACGGGTGGGTTTTGTTGCAGGTTGTGCAGCATCGATAAGGTTGATGCGGCTACTTTTGAGGCTGGCCATATCTGTGCTAGATCGTGGCAGCCGCAGGCCCCCTTCCTGTGCTGCTAGAACACAAGGCGGCGCGGCGCGGGTGACTAATGGCCGCGCGCACCAGCCTGGAAGCCTGGCTTGCCCTTGGGCACCCCTCCAGTGTTGAGGTATGCTTGGTAGGACATTGCTGTCAGGTAGCTAAGCCGTTCCAATGGTTTGTTGCGGTGCAGTCATCCGCGGTTTTGGGGGGGTTTGGGGGGAGGGGTTGGGGTCTGCACGCCGTGGGTGCAGGATTCGGCACGGTGCACGACACAATCAGAGCACAGTTTTAAGAGGATGCACGAGAACAGAAGCAAAAGCAGCGCCGCGTTGACTCAGATGAGTGCTTCATCTCTGTGCCTGCCGCGCGTGGATGTAGCTGCGAACAAAAAGCAGCCCGCGGCGCATGGGCGCTTGGGAGCGTGGTGGCAAGGCGGGAGGCGTGCTCACGTCCCAAATCCGCCAGTGAAGGCAATGGAGTAGCAGGCGCTGATGAACGTCTGGACGACGGTGTTCTCCTAGAGTTGTGCGCAAGTGTTCGGAAGCGTGCGTGCGCATTGCATGCGTTTTGGCGGAGGGGGGCGCATGGGTGCGTGAGCTGTTGCGAGGTGCTGGCAGCACACAGGCCTCCGACCTCACCCCTGCACTGCCGCGTGTACCCATTCGCATCCACGTCTGCTTACTCGCCCCCTCCACTTTACATCCCAGCCTCAACGCTGATCGAGTGCTGCGCCTTGGGCCACGCCTTTGGGGCAATGGCTGCCACTGCTTTGGCTTCGCCGCTGCTGCAGACGCACCTGTACGCCAAACGGCGCGAACAGGCCTTTCTTAAAGCCCAGCCTGTTACCGGCCGCGGTGGACCCCTTGAGCACCACAAAAGACAGCAGGCCGCCAGGCACGTTCAGGCTGCGGGGATAGCGGCGCGCGGACGGCACAGGACGGCGCCCCGCGGGCGTAACAAGCGGGCGGGGGATGCACAGGTCTTGTCGCCAGCGGCGTGCGTAGCGTGCGGCAGGGCGCGCAAAGAGAGCGCGGGCTGCCGCAGTGAAGCTGCCAGGGCCGGCCCTCGGCCGCCTGCTCCACCGCTGCGCTCTGGTTGGTTGGTCGTGTCCCCGCGGCCCACCTGGGCACGATGCCCGCGCTGCCGAGGGCCAGCCGCATTGTAATGATGCAGAACAGCAGCCCTGCAGGTGGATCGCAGCACGTGCGAGCCTCTGTTCAGCACTCGAAGCCTGGGCCATGGAACCTCGCATCATCCGCGTGAGCTGTGAATCCAGCGTCGCGGGCATGGCCCAACGCAGCTGTGCGCCTGTGGCGGATGCCACACAGTCGCAGTTGCCAGCCTCGCCTGCACACTTCACAGGGGCAGTCGCGCAAAGGGGGTCGCGCACCTAGGCCCGCCCCCACGATCACGGCGCGCAGGGTGATCTGATCGGTCCAGTTTGGCAGAAGGTCCGCCGTCAATGGCCTGCGAGCGCAGCGCAGGGCTCAGGCAAGTGGTCGGGTGTGCCCTCCACCTCCACGCCTGCGTGAACAGCTCGGGGCCCACCAGCGCCACAGCTGCACAATGCGCTGCTCTTGCAGTGCATCCACATGCGTCTGTGGGAACAAGAAGCACCTACGGCCAACCCACCCCTTCTCGCTGTCATGGTCGTCTGCGGCGCCGCTGCACCCGCAATGGATCCCAGCCTCCTCTCGCTCGCCCTCCAGCAGGCCCTTGCGGGGGCTGCGCTCGGGATCAATCAAAGCTGAGCTGCCCTTTGCCCGCCTAGATAGGCCGGTCGGTGTGCTTGATCCCATGTTGTTTGCTTCGGGTGGTTGAGCCCAAAGCTTTTGATCAAGGAGGGCGTTATCAGGCTGAATGAGCGCCTATCGATCTACATGCACGACTCCTGGGCTCCTTCGCGTGCAGAAACGGAGACAAGCCGCTGGCCAGCTCCGGCGCGGGTGACTCGAGCCTTACGTCACAAATTGCGCATGTATTATATCAGAAAGAGCCCCAGTGCTCGCACTCGGCAATTGGAAGGTGCTTGTCGCAGCACCGCGAGTCCGTTGCAAAGCCGTTGACCAACCTGTACCGTTGGTCGATCCTTGTTCCAACCTGTTGACTTGCTGGGTTTGCACACGCCCGCACTGGCAGCCTTTCGCGATTTGCATACATCTTGGTTGTCAGTCCAATGAGCATTGGTGCGTTCAGCAAGGGTGCTGACCTGCGCTGTGAAAGGCACAGGTGCTCCGTCGCTGTGCGGCACTCCGCTACTGAGCCTCACGAGCAGCCAAGGGCCCATGATTGTGTTGTCGGTCTGATACAACCTACTACAGTTGATGTGGCTCGGACTTGTTGTGCGGGGGTTGCCAACACCGCCTGTCGCAAACGGTGTGCAGGCATGAAAATGCGAATACGCTTCTTGGATACTGTACTTAGATCTGGGTTGGGACGTTGGGCAGGCAGTAGAAAATGGCCCGAAAACAACCATCATCTGCAACGTGCGTGTTGTCCATCTGGGCGCCGTGGCAGCCAGACACGGTGCACACGGCTTTGAAGTCAACCCGGTCAACTGTGGGAACCTCATAACGAGGGCAACCCAACAAGCGTGCCAGCACCTGCTGATGCCAACATGGCCGGAGGCTTTTTGACTATATTCCTCGCTTCTGTCCTACCCGTGCGTCCTGTGCTTGCCCCTCAGCTGTCGCGTTGCGCACGCCCTGGGTGAGAGGGTCCCGAGGTCGCCCTGCTGGCCTGCACCCTGCACGCCATCACCCTGATACAGCGAACAGCGTTGGACTTCTTGGAATATCTTTCTCCAAGTGTATCATCCACGCCTATTATCGAGCTGCGACGCGCGAAAATGCAGATTGGGCTCGCGCAGCGGCCAGTCAGGGCCACAAGTAGGCGCATCGTCAATGGAGCCTCGCCAAGTGCCAGGCATGGTGTCCCGCACGGCCTCTTGAGCGGGGTCCGCCGGGTGAGTGAGGGTGTGGGTGGTTCCCGGCTCTGTGTCCTACGGAGCGCTCGTGCAGAGATCCGCGCTATGACGCGAGTGTGTATGCTTATAATCAGGTCGTCTGAACCGCCCTTGGCCCACAGGCTGCCCCGAGCGCGGACACCGGTGCTGGTGCCAACAGCGCCGCGTTTGAGAGCGCAGCCAAGGTGCGCCATCCGTCTAGCAGCGTGCATTGCGCGCGCAAGGCTTTGTAGCTTGAACGGCATGACAGCACCAACACTCAGAGCCCCATGCGGTGCCTGTGGCGCATCCTGAGCCAGAGCAAGGACTGCCAGTGGGGTGAGGGAGGGGGCGCCTGGACGACCCAAGTTCTAGTTTCCTCTGCAGGGCGCGGCGACCGCTGCTTGCCACCTCACCCTGGTCGCATGTATGACTGACAGTCGCGTGTATGCCTTCCGCCGCCGCCCACGCGCTGTGCAGGCCGCCTTGGTTGCGCCTTTCCTGCTGATCGCCGCCGCCAGCTGCAGCAGCCCGGCCCATGCGACCGGCGTCCCGGCTGACGTCAAGGTGTGCATGCGCAACGGGTGCACGAGCCCGCGGTGCATGAGCCCGCACGACGCGTTGGCGCCTGGAGACCTGGGGCCAGGCAGCGTGTGCACACATCAGCCTCCTCCACTGCACCGGATCAAACGTTCTGCCCTCCTCCACCCCCAAAGCCTCGTCGGCAGTTGGCGTCCTATCCTTGAACACGCATGCCACTCCTGCGCCTCACATTTGTACCCAACAGGCCCAAGCCCAGGCAACCCCGGAGGTAACGGTCTACGAGCAGGCCGCCCCGGTCCCCAGCGCGGCTGCTGCAGCGCCGCTGGCGTCAGCCTCGGCCGCCCAGCCCGGCCCTGGCGGCCTCCTCGCACGCCGCGAGGCCCGCGCCGGACTGCTGGCGGCATCGCTCCTCGGCGTTGTCCTCTTTGCCGCCTCCAAGCGCGGCGGCGGCCCCGCCGCGCCCGCTGCGGCTGCAACTGCCGACGCGGCGACGGCCGACGCCGCGCCGCCGGCGGCCGACGAGGCCGCGGCGCTTGCGGAGGCTGTCGAGCGCGCGGCGGAGCAGGTGGCGCGCGCGGCGGAGTCCGTCAAGGCGTCGTTCGACGAGGAGAGCGCTGACGGGGAGGCGGCGGCGGCCGGCGGCGCGCTGCCGCTTGTGGCGGAGCCGTGGGCGGCAGCGGTGTCCAGCAACGGGGCCCATGCTGAGGTGCGCTTGCAACAGGGCAGGCTGGGAGTCAGGGCGACGTTTTCGCTCATGGCGAAGCTCAGCATCGATACCGTTTGACTGGTCTCGTGTGACTCTGGCTGTTACCACCCTATCCTGGCTGTACAGCAAGGTGACCCCCTTGCGCCCAACCATTCACGCAAACGCGGCTTGGACTTCGAGCCCGCTTGTTGACAGCAACACCAAAGGGACGATTCCCTCACGACCCAACCCCTGCCCGCCCACAGGACATCAAGGCCGCGATCTCAGAGGCGGCCAAGGCAGGCGGCTCCCGCTCCCGCGGCCGCACGCCTGTCGGCCTCACCGCCCCCACCCCCTCCCGCGCCCCGCCCGCCACAAACGGCAACGGCAACGGCAACGGCGCGAACAGCAGCGCCGCCGGCGTCGCCCCGGAGGGCCCGCCGTCGCCGATGGACCTCCTGCGGCGG